ATACCTGGCTATAACATGTCATATAGCCTATAACACGCTTTCACACATTCGTTTTTGAACATATTGCGAGGAGTAAAATTTGTATATGTGGTTTCAACAATCAGATGCATTTACACTTGTCCAGATCCGTCTGGAATGCGTCTCAGACCAGCTCCTGAAGTGACTTGAGCGATCAGATTTAAATCCATCTCGAAAGTGTTTCAGAGGGCATTTACACCTGGTCTTTTCACGATCGGATGGCTATCCAATCAGATAAAACACATGAAGTAACCAGGAAACAGGCCCTTAGTAGGTAGACAAAACTAGATGTAGCTTTTATCGTATACTTATTTTGACCATGTAATATAGCGTACTAACATAAATAATACAACACACAAGTGATCAGTAAGCATTACACCACTCCACAGCAGTCATATATGAAGGTTACTTCCTGATAAATTTACATAATTAAAAATTCATGAAATTTTATTTATCTACATCAAAAGCAAAAGTGCTACAATGTAGAAAAAATAGACTATTTTAATAAATTCTCCAATAAGAAACTATAAAAAAGGGCAAAACCTATTAAAGGAAAGGCTACTGAAAAAATAACCAGGATAGAGACCCAAAGATAAACAAGGCTTTGTGGAAATCCCCGCAATTAATTCTAAAATAACTTTATGACAGTGTTGATGGTCAGATAAACATTGTTAGAACATTGTTTCCTTATGAGTAAGTGGTTCAGGAGTGAAAGCTGTATAATGCTGTTTAGAATTAATTTTTTTACGACTAAATCTCACTGGTCTGTCTCTGTCTCTCCAGCATCTCCAAGGGCAGAGTCTGGCTCAGTGAGGACATACTCCTGTTGAGGGACTGCAAAGGTGAGACATGACTAGCTAGCTTCTTTTTCAGTTATAATTTACAATGAAAAAATAAATGTTCACTTGCTGTAGCCCACAAGATTTAGACTTTCTAAATCTAGAAAACTGAACAGAAAAGTATTTAATGAAAGTATTTAATGACCATGTGTGGGCAGGGCCCCCAAGAATTGCGGTGCACCATTGCTAATGAATACCTTCTGTGTTCATACTTGTACATACTGAAATCACAAAAATGCACTCATTTACGAGTTAGACGGAAACAGTTTTAGCATTCTGTTGGGTTTCCTTACAGGGCCATAATGGAGTTGATTGACCCCTCCTACATATTTCGCATGCTCCTTAAATGTATTGTGCTGTCAAACTTGTTTTGGAAAGGATGCTGCTTTTCATGTTTTTATTGTGATTCATCATGTGCTTTGTGTTTGCGGTTGTGTGTGAGTTGTTATCAGCCACGTGGAATCGGTGTCAGCAAAACTGTGTAGGATATGGACGCCTGTCATTCACAAATGCACCTTGTATGATTAAGCTTTCAGCTATCAAGTGTAGTGCACTCAGCTCATCCTTGTTAAAATGCACAGTTCTTCTCAAAATGATATCAGAAAAAATATAAAACAGTCTGCGGCTTCCATCTGGGATTGGTCATTGGTGATGCTTTTTCTTGGCTTAACTTCAGACGGTACACAAAATCGTGACGATTTGTGTTATAATTCTCTCTCTCGCACACAGGAGGCGCCGTTGTCAGAGAGCTGGAACCGGCTTTACATTTCATTCACGGGGAGGAGGGGGGATAAGCAGAAAAAAAGCAATGAATATATACATTTATAAATATAACTCTACTGGTCTGACCATTCTGCAATAACAGAAGAGGGATGGAAAAAGAGGGGGAAAAAGAGCAAAAAAGGACAAAAGACATGAAGAATGTATGACACAAGTGAGTGGTAAGAAATGGGATGATTGGAGGAATCGGATGACTGTTTAATCTTTCTTTCTGTCGTTGTCTCTTCTCACTTCCTGTGTCTGTGCTGATGGGACATCTGTAGATGAACTCGCTTGTCTTTCCTTCCTTCGTTTCAATGGCGCTGCCCGCAGCCCTAGTTCCTCAGAATGGCTGCCTGCAATTGGTCTCTTGAGTCTCTCGAGAGCAAAGGATGTTTGTGGCAAATCCACCTGGACTTCAGGGATGTTTACATACGGTGAGGTTCAGAGGAAGTGTACTAAAGAGCACAGTCGAGGCCAAGACTTCGCTGTATGTGTTTCTCAATCAGGAGAGCGAGCACAAGCTGAGAAAGACAGGCGCACCGAGAGCTACACGTGAGGCTGCAAAGGGCACAATTCTTGCTCAGTTACTACTACAGTAGGCATTTTCTTTTTTTCTTTTTTTTTACATTCAGATTAAAGATGAAAGATCAGCAGAGTGAGTCAGCAAACAAAGGGAAGCTGGTGGTGGCGGATAGATAGAAACACTGGGAGGTGAAGCGAGAGGGAAGATGCTTGCGGACAAAGCAAGTGACCAGCAGAAATGAGTCCTGACGGACAGAATCGTTCCAACAACGCAAGCCATAAAAGACAACAAGAGGTGAACCGAGGAGGAGAAACGGGACAGGGAGGGAGGGTCAAGGGAAAACAAGTGAGAGAAATTGTTTAGCTTCTGTGTTGCGATGCATGTCAAACAACCAAGACGACAACGAACTAAAACTTTCGGGGAATAAGACAATATGAAGTTAAAAATAAAAATGATGTGTACATTAACAAATGAGGTTAAGAGCTTGGGGAACAATTTGTAAAATGTGTGTATTTTCATTTTTATTTTTTATTTTTATGATAACTATATTTATTTTCTTTATGTATGTATTGAATAATTGTATGTACATGTTCATTTAATAATTCTGACTGTAATTTAATTTGATCTAGTTTAAAGCGTAAATATGAAATATTAAAAACATGGTCATTAAAATATGCTACTTGTATGTGTAAATTTTGACAACAAAATTGTGTTATGATTTAAAAAACAAACCATTACTGTTGATGAGGATGACAGTGATTCGATTGGAAAATGATGTCTGCAAAATAAACAATAATGATAATGATGAAAATCTAAATAAAATAAAGTGTTCCTAATGGTACTAGAGTTCGGTGTGCTCGTGATTTTCAGATGCTAATTTGCTGAACAGGGTGTGTGTGTGTGTGTGTGTGAGTGTGTGTGTGAGATGAATTTATTTGAATCTGACGACTGCAAATCGATGTGCTTCCTTTTTTTTTTTATTACAAAACAAATAGAACTACAATCATATATTCCACTTTGTATTTTACTAAAGCCCCACTCGCTCATCCATCTACTTTGTAAAAAAATGTCACATACAAAAGTTTCTACCTTACAAAGATTACATAATACTTTATTACAATGACTCAATGTGAAAAATTAAATCAAACCCTGTTGAATGATCTCCACAGACTTCTTAATACAGTAACCAGGGAATCAGACTACAGTTCATTTAATTCAACATTCATTTTTGACTGTATTTCTGTAATGTTGGATGAGTGAACATGTGCGAACCATTGTTCCAAGATGTAGCTGACACTGAAAACCATGATGAGGCACATGTTTTGGGACAGGCTCACGAGAAAGCCTTTAATCTGCAATTCTGCGGACACTAAACACAAGTCCTCAATCATTTTTGGTTGTTATAAATACACATATATTTGTATATGTTTTACATATTGTACATTTATAAAGAAATATATTAATATCAAGTACTTGCACTTACATACTAACTCAAAAGTAATAACTTATTGTCTGTAAACTATAGACACAATAAAACAAATGTAACACAATATATGAAAAGAAAAAGGAAAAAAGATCTCAGTATTGAGGTTTTCTTGTTTGTGTACATTTACGCACTGGCCTAGTGAGCCGTGGATTTGGACTGGAGGGATGACAGCAGAGTGGAGGTACTCATCATCACCTCATATCACTTTAATCCCACATTATGTGTCATGAAACACAAAATGAGTTGCACCTGGTGATAATTTCATGAATTACTTGTGAATTTCTGTCTGATCCTCACACAAACCTATCCCATGGCTTTAGAAGTTGACTCAAATGACTATGAATAGGAGAAAGTGTGGCATGCAACATGGTGGAATAAGCTGCAGTTAAAAGCTCCGGTTCCCATCTGAGACTCACACTTGGGACTGCACATGCGCATTGGCAGGACCAACCTGAAACATACCTGTTTTTTAACGATATTTGAGCACAAGAAACACCCTTTATTTCATGATTTCACATTAGCATATAATCAGATATAGTATAAAATATGCGTATTTGGCGTGCTGTTCGAGGAGAGGGCTCCAAGCTCGGAATTTGGCCCGAACCTAGAGTACTCCCCCTGTATGCCTGGCTGGGATAGGAATAATCGAGAGTGAGGAGTCGAGTTGGAGGAGGGATGCTGGAAAAATTGTCATGGAACAGAGGTAAGTCTGCTTTATATATAAGCAAAGCCTCCTCTTGCGCTGATTGGGTAGATTCCCGAACTTTGTTAATAAAACATCATATGACAGTTCATGTCAGATATTCCTGCTGATTTAAAATATGTTTATTAATTGTGTTTGGTCTTTGATTTTTTTTTGTTATTTCGCCTTTTAAAGTAGATAGGTCGGTCTTGCATGAGCAAAATAGCTGCCTAGAGGTGTTGCAAATGTGAATGACAAACTGACTTTCCTTAAAAGGGATTTTGATTTAGTCCACAAGTTGTATTGATCACTTTTATAGTGCTTTCTTGGAGCTTGACAGCCAGGTTTGTTTTTTTGATGAAATGTTCTAAATGTAAAGTGACCCCAAATATTATTTGGACGCTTAAGCCACAATTAAAAATGTATAAATGAAAAAAGCACAATGACACTTTTGTTAGGTCTTCAAATATGAAATAATAAACATATTGTTCAAAATGAAGTCAAAAGGTCTTGAACACTTTATGGTGGTCAAACTTTGTTCAACTATTATTCAGCGAGGATACCTGTGTGAACTCGATGGGAACTAGCTTCCTACTTCCATAAAAAATATGACCTCAAGACCAGTTGGTTAAAAAAACCTGAAAATGCCACTTGCTTTGATATTACGTATCTAATGCAATTAAATTAACTCACTCTGTAAAAAAGTCTGAAAGTGTACAAAAAAATGCTGGGGCCACTGTTTCCTTTTGTGTTCCAAGAACAAAAATAAATCATATGGGTTTTGAGCAACATGTGAACCAGAACAGATACAGTCCCTTTTATTAACAAGATCTTTCAACTCTGTCAGTCCTTCGTTCAACTATCTGTACCTTCTGCCTTCTCGCTCTCTTGCCCTCTCGAACTTCCTCTCAGTGTTGTACGTTCCTCTAGTGAGCAGAACGCAAACGCAGGAGGAGTCAATACGGATCCACCTCCAGCCTATCCTCATGTTGTCGTCTGAGGTGAGCGCACGTACGTATGACTGTTTGGTTTCGCACCTGCTCATCCAGTGTTTCTTATCCACCCCAAAGCAGCCCGCCCCCTCCACCCCCTGCCCTTCACTGTTCCCTTGCTGAAGTGGCTTACGGCACTTCGTTTCGAAGAAGTACTGCTTCAGCGGCCCAGTCTGTGTCTGGATCTCTTGCAGAATAGTGACGGTTTTACTCCGGAGGTCCACCGCTGTCTTCTTGTCGGTCACCCACCCGCTTTCGGCCTCACATACGGAGCGCTCGCGACCTTGCGTGTTGAGGCCGACCTGACGTTTGCGGCGGACGCTTGGAACGTGGTTGTCAGAATCAGACAGACCCAATAGTAAGTTCCTGTATGCCTCTTTGTCGCCTCCATTACTGGGTGTGGTAACATCCATTGTGTGGCTTTCCTCGTCCTCAACATCTTCAGCCAGCAAACCCAACTCCAGCATTAGGAGCAGAGGTGGGTGTTTGGGTGGGGAAAGAGCCGGGGAGAAGAGTACCCGGGGATGAGCGTCCAGCAAAAGCAGCTGATCTTCTTCTCGCAGGCCTAGGTTGTCGATCCTAAAGCCCGGTTCCGTTCCAAACACTCCATTTGGCTGTGCCAACTCTTTTTCAATGGTGTTCCCGTCCGTTTGAGCTTCATCCAGATGTTCCTGCACTGGAGAGCTCTCCAGAGTGACCATAGGACCTTCAACAGGCCCGTCTTTCAGTTTACTTCTTGCGTTCCTGTCATCTTTAACAAAAGTTTCTGCCTCAATACTGTTTTCTTCATGTTTAAGCTGATAGTCCTTGAGAATGTTGTTGCTTGGGGAACTGGCTTTTTCGGCCAGACTTTTTTCTGTTTTGTATTCCCTATGATCGTGCGACCGGGAGGCATCTGCTCCGGTAGTCCTGCCTTCACCTGTGTAGTCCTGTTTTGTGTTATTGAAAACAATGTTTTCTGTTAAAAGATTCTCTTGGTTTGCTCTGCCCTTGGATATGTGGTCCTCCTCATGTGTAAACGTGCTCTGCTTGTCGACTGTGTGGTAGTTGTTGTGAGAAGCAGCCTCATGGGAGTGGCTGTCCATTGATGAGTTGGTTGGCATGCTGATCTCAGCTGTCGGGACGCTGCTGGTGTTGCTGTCGTTTCTGCCAGGCTCTATCGTCGCGGCTACAAGCCTGGGGACAGGATTCTGAGGGAAAGGCAGGGCCGAGGCGATCACCATGGCAACCAGGGGAAGCCAGTGCATCACTCCCAAGACGTGTCAACTACGAATTGATAAAAAGAGAAGAAGAATTAGAAAGCGCATAAAGAGGAAAAACAGTGGAGTTTAACATGACATACTGTAGATATGTGAAGAGTAAAAAATAAAACAGATAGATGACTGTAACTGTATGATGGATTATTGAAAATAAACAACAAAATGTAGAGTGGAGACTTAAAGGGATACTTCACCTCTGGAAAGATGAATGTGTATTTAAAATGGGTCATTTATTTAGAAGAAATGTGAAATTATTTTTGAATTGCTTTCTAGACTGAGAAAAGACAGAAAATGTATTTTTGGCTTATGTGGATGAAAGACAACAACTCCCAGAATGCACTTCCTTCGCTGCCCTAGGTGGCCACGCCTACCGGTAACAGAGCGCAGTAGCTAAACAACAAGTCTAGGCTACTAGTGAGTCTCCCTGATGAGTCTGCCCGAAAATGTGTTTCCAGATTGCCCAAAATATCCGGGATTCGGCTTTTGCGTTCTACAGTCGCCATTCATTATGTTTACTGTGGCGAGCAGGATGAGTGAGGGCCGCGGGAGAACGGGGCGAGGCCGGTGGCGTGATTACCGATGAGCGACCCCTGTGAGACGCACGGGTCTCGTATCTCTCACGGAGGAGCGGGAGTTTTCTTAGCATGTTAAAACGCACATCAACCGATCACTTGTTTAGCGTTCATGTAAACACTATATTCAGATTCACCAATCGGAATGAATTCAGTTAGATTGAAACAAAAGGTGTGCATGTAAACAATGAATGGCGACTGCAGAAAGCAAAAGCTGAATCCCGGACATTTTGTATGATCTCGACGGTCGGACATGTCCGGGAAAAAGAGGATGTATGGTAACCCCTACTACTCAGCTTTCTCCTACTAATTTACTCAGCTTTCTCCACAGAACAAGAGCCTGCTAGCTTAGCTTCCAAAAAAAGATGTCTGACACTGTGTGTACATTCTGTGAGTGAGATCCCACCCTCTATGGGCGGGTTGAGAACATGCGGGACAGCCCCTACTACTGACTGTAGTCTTTAGCCTCTGGCCAAAAAATCCTCCGATGACACAAAATGACGATTTTTGCATCATCGGAGGATTTTTTCCAGACAAAAAATACATAAATCTCTCGTCTCAGGGGGATATGAGGGTGGAAAGCACGGTAATTTGAAAATACTACAGGTTTTCTACTAATACAAAGCTTAAAGGAACACTCCGACTTTTTGGGACTTTAGCCTATTCACCTTATCCCCCAGAGTTAGAAAAGTCCATACATACCTTTTTCATCTCCGTGCGTGCTATAAGTCTGTTTGACGCACCCACCGCTAGCCTAGCTTAGCACAAAGACTGGATGTAAATGGTTGCAGCTAGCATACTAATCCAAATAAGTGACAAAATAGCGCAAACATTTTCCTATTTACATGTTGGGATTTGTATAGTCACAGAGTGTACAAAAAACAAAGTCACATGAGACACAGACATATTTTAACAGTATAAATACTGGGAACTATATTCTCTGAAGGCGAAGCACTGCTACTTGGGCGGAGTGATAACCGCAGCACCTGAGACGCGCCGTGGTGAGGAGCAGAGTTTGTTCAGAGTTTGGGTACGGTACGTCTCAGGTGCTGCGGTTATCACTCCGCCCAAGTAGCAGTGCTTCGCCTTCAGAGAATATAGTTCCCAGTATTTATACTGTTAAAATATGTCTGTGTCTCATGTGACGTAGTTTTTTGTACATTCTGTGACTATACAAATCACAACATGTAAATAGGAAAATGTTTGCGTTATTTTGTCACTTATTTGGATTAGTATGCTAGCTGCAACCATTTACATCCAGTCTTTGTGCTAAGCTAGGCTAGCGGTGGGTGCGTCAAACAGACTTATAGCACGCACGGAGATGAAAAAGGTATGTATGGACTTTTCTAACTCTGGGGGATAAGGTGAATAGGCTAAAGTCCCAAAAAGTCGGAGTGTTCCTTTAATGCTAAATCCTGAAGTATCCCTTTAATTCTATCCATGGGTTGTTGATTGGATGGAGGCAGATCTTAATGTGAGCTTGCAGTTGATTGTAAGATTGGGGCGGGGTTACGCAGATTAAATTATTGGAGAAGTCCAGCATATGTCACCAGAGAGAAGACTGTTATTTTGATTAAAAAAGGGAAACGTGCACAGATGAATTCACAATAAGATCTAACATGCATTTAGACGCTGAAGACTGGAGTAATGATGCTGAAAATTCAGCTTTGCCATCAGAAATAAATTATATTTGAAAGCATATTAAAATAGAAAACCATTATTTTAAATTGTAATAATATTTCACAATATTACTGTATTTTTTCTGTATTTTTGATCAAATAAATGCAGGCTTAATGAGCATAAGAAACTTCTTTCAAAAACATTAAAAATAGTAATGTTTCCAAACTTTTTTTTTTTTTTTTTGCTTGCAAGGCGGAAACGGTCTTTCAAAAGAATGGCTCAAAGCCAGCTCATAAAAAATAAAAAAGGTAAAATAAGCCTAAAACTGTTAACCTATAGCTTTATTGCTTTGGCAACAGCCAGTGGAAAAAGATGCAAAATTGCCTTATTTTTCGTGTAAAAAAGAGAATGAAGCCGCAAACATGCTTCACCATCTCCTGCTCCGGTTGGTCGGCACAGACATGAAGTCACCAGCTAGTCAACGTCTGGCAAAGCTCAGTTTGAAATCAAGCCACTAACAGCATTTGTCTGGTGCTGGTAGTTTCACATGAGACCACAAACAACTCCGGTATGTGTGGAAAAGGTTGTAAATTTCACAGCTTATGAGTATGACAGAGGGCAACAAAAAGCCACTTTACTGCATGAGCCAAAGAATCAATTCCACTAAGATTAACAGAAGATAACACTATTTCAGGCTTCAAAGAAATGCTTTGATTTGATTGTCTTTTTATTATCTTTTTTTGTACGTTTTTGTTTGACGTGCTTTACCTTCATCTTTTTTCCATACGTTTAACCTGATTGTCCCATATTCACACTTCGGTAACATGACTCTCAGCAACAGCGGGAATACCTCAGAGATTTGGGTTATTTATTGACAGGAACACCAAAGTTCAGCAGTCATCTACCTAAGACAAGCTTCGGGGTGGTTACTGGCCCTGTGGTAGTGATTTATGTGCTTATTTAGAAGGGGTCAGAGTAAAACTACACCGATGAATGATAAACTCTCTTCCTTTTCCTTTCAGCACTCAATAAGCAAACACTCGTACTATCAACCACCAGGTGGAAGCAAAACCACCACAATCAATGATCAAATGTGTCTCATCATTGCACTTTTTTGTCTCATTGTACAATCAAAATATATACTCTACTCTGTTCAAATGTTTGAGGTCGGTAAGATTTTTTTCGTTTTAACAGTCTTTTATGCTCACAAAGGCTGCATTTAAGTGATCAAAAATAACAGTAATATTGCGAAATATGATTACAATTTAAAATAACTGTTTTCTATTGTAATATATATTGTATTCTATTGTAGTTTATTCCTGTGTTGGTAAAGCTGAATTTTCAGCATCATTACTCCAGTCTTCAGTGCCACATGATCCTTCAGAAATCAGTCTAATATGATGATTTGGTGTTTAAATCAATGTTGAAAACAGTTGTGCCGCTTAATATTTTTGTGTTTTGGGATTCTTTGATGAAGAGAAAGCATTTTACAACATTTATTTGAAATAGAAATCTTTTGTAACATTATAATTGTCTTTACTGTCACTTTTGATCAATTTAAGGCATCCTTGCTGAGTAAAAGTATTAATTTCCTTTAAAAAGTCTTACTGACCCCAAACTTTTTAACAGTATGGAAACAAATGTATACCATATTTATACAAAAATGTGTGCAAACTACATAGTAAGCTCACACGTAAGCTCAGCTGTGATGCTCTTAACAGCAGCGAAAAAATAAAAATATCTTCTAAAGATTGATTTAGAAGCAAGTATTCAACAAGAAAAAAGTGACTGCACAGAGAGTGTGTCGTCTTGTTGATGATACAGGGAGGCATGCAGCCAAACTGTCCAATGTTAAGGCCAGATGTAAATCACTCACCAATCCAGTTGTTGTGTGCTGAGAAATGAGGGAGAGGCATATAGAGAGAAAAAGAGTTCACGAAAAGAAGAATGCTCAGAATGTCAGTGATGAGGCTTCAAGCGAGAAAACTCCTCCTGGCAGGACACACTAGAATGAAGGGTGAGTAAGAGTCAAGTGATTATTCGTTTGAGGAGACATAACCATTAGGCTCATAGGGAGAAAGAAGGTGGGTGGACAGGAAGGTTGTGTGTGAAGTGCAAAATCACCACTTGTGACACTCATAATAACAGCACCCCACCCCGGACAATGTTTTCTAATAACGCTCAAGCCAAACAAACACGCTCGCACACAACGCAGAACTGAGCCTGCGGACACACGCAGGGAAAGAATGCCACCAAGACCAAGTCCATATGCATGCTGGGACATGGAGCATTACATGTACAGTATAAGTGCTGACTTCCTGTTTACGTTAAACATAAGAACAGTTCTGCGATGTACAAATGAGGCTCTACCGTCTTTTAAATGCAAATTTACTTGCCGCAGAGAGATTTATAGTCTCGTTCTTTCACCACCGCAAATGATGACAGAAACATTGTATGAACCGGACAGGACTTCATACTTTGTCTCAGCATTTTTTTCAATTATGAGACAGTGTCGATAAAATCCCAGCATGTTGTTTACAGCTGAACTGAAGTCACATATATGAGCGCATAGAAGAATGAATCAATATTTAGACATTGTTTAACAATATTTAGACTGTGTTCATTTTATGTTCATAATGAACATAAAATGAGAGAGTCCAATACAGAAAAAAAACTTGTGTAAAACACAAGTCAAGTTCTTAGAAATGTTCTCTTTGTATTCATGTTGGTTTCACGTGGCCTTTATCAAGAAGTTGAAATTTAACAAATCTAAAAATATCGTGTACTCAAGTAATAAAATGAAGTAGCCTATGTG